GTTTCGACGCGAAACTGGAACAGCCTAACGGTCATTCTTGTTTTGTTGGTCTTCGTGCGGCTTCGGTTTTAACTCGCCTGTTCGATGCGCTTCCGGCAGACCTACGACAATGAAAAAGGTTCGACGCAGCGGGAGCGAACGTTAAATTTTAGGATCGCGTAAAGACGAGTCGAAGCTCGATAAATATTACGGCGTCGTAAGTTTCGAGCCGTCGCGTCGAGTCGTTGCGAGGACGAACGACTCGAAGAGGGACGAGAGCAGGCGAATAGGAGAAAGAACGGGAAGAAAAGAGCTTGATCCGATCGTAAGAGCATCGGCTCGGTTCGCGAAAGGAAGTACATAGGAGCCTTTTAGGAAGGTCGCGTCGAAGATGGTCGCGTCTTCGAAACGGCCAACTTTCCTTTCTCCGTCGCGTCGTTCCTTCTCTGCCAGTCCGGCCGCTCTTCCCGAGCCATGTGCACGATCGATAACCCACCACGTACCCGCCATTACCGTACCTTTACCGACCTCGTGGAAAATTTGGTGCCCGGCAAATAACCCACGGGCATCGGCCGTGCCTCTACCGAATCGCTCTTTTCCGTCCTTACTTTCTTTCCGCGTTTCATTTTTCAAGCAGCGCCGTTTCCTCCCTGCTTCTCCTTTCGGAAACCAATCTGTTCGTAATCTCGACTCTCGTCGACTCTCTTCTCTCCTCTCCTCTCCTCTTTGACGTTTCTCTACGTCCTCGCCTCGCGACGCTGTTCGTTCGGTTGTTCCTTAAACTCTCGGCCCGCGCGTACCTCGATAACGAGCAGGAAAAACGAACGAGAAGAAGAGAGAGAGAGAGAAAAAAGGGACGTCCCTTTGTAATCCGAGCCGCGTATCTCGGGGCGGAAGGTCGATCTCGAAAGGATCCAGTCCGATCGGCGAAGTCGCGAATGGCTTCGTTGAATATTCCGAGCGACAGCTTCTTCTCGCGGACTTATCGCAGGGGATGAACTTTTATCGCGTGCCTGCTCTCGAAAACGATTCGACGCGGGCGACCGTTTTCTCCAACCGGGATAGATTAAATCTCGAACCGGGAACCTGGAAAATCTCGCGAAGATGCGCCGGATAAGAGTCGCTCCACGACAGTTGTTACGCGTTCGTCGCGATATAGAAACGCGTTCTCGAAGCGAATGGCACGGAACAAAAGTACCGTCCGCTCGGACGATCGCTCTCCTTTTAACATTATCGCGGTGATTGCAGTTTTGCCGCAAGAAGGGCCAACGATAACCGGCGAGGAAAAGGTTTACGCCACCGGCGACGTCCTCGGGTTGAATTGCACCAGCGGCAAGTCTCGTCCGGCCGCGATTCTCAAGTGGTTCATCAATGGCGCCGAGGTGAGTGCTAACGTTTCGGTCAGCGTCGAAAGTTCGAGAAACGTTTGTCGTCGCGCGATTCAGTTTTTGTCGTCGATAAACACGGGACGAGTAGTCGGTCGAAAGACGCGGATGGAATTTGGTGTAGAGGAGCTCGAGACGAGAGGTTCGTTAAACGAGGAGGAAAGAGCGAGAGGGAAGAGGGAGAGCTTACGCTGGTAGGACTAGCGATACCGACAACGACGACGTAGAAGACGACGACGCTTGATGAGCCAAAGCTTCAATTAACGAGCTCTACCGAAAGCGGTGGTAGAATGCAACGTTCGTTACTCACACCGACGCGACGCGAACCACCGCAGCAAGTAACGCGAGATCTTCTCGTTAACTTTGGACACCGAACATTGAACCGAATCGAGAAACCGAAACGTCGCGGACAAAAGTGTACGGGGAATCGATAATTAATGCGATAGAGTCGGAAGCGATCGGTCAACGAGTCGTAGTATTATTAGATCGCTTTCTCGAAGCGTTTAAACGTAATCCGCAAAGTGGAGGCAGTTGAGACGGAAGCGCGTAGACAGGAGAAGGCGCGTGTTCCGAGCTCGAAGATTAAGTCGATGAACGTCGATGTTCCTTTAGGGCTTCGGCCGCGAATCGAGCGCCGGTGGCTCGAAAAGTTTTCTCTTAGCCGTTCTCCTTGTTTCTTCGCGCTCGCGCCCCCTCGTTTCCGTTCCTCCTCTCGAGGAGGAAAACTTGGCAGCGTTCTTCGACGATGTCCATTAGGAGTTGAGCGAGTTTAGCGCGGCACTTAACGCGAGTAATATTGTTTCGAAAACGTTCTCGTCGACAGTTTCGAAAGATTCGACAAAGCCGATAGCTGCGTTCTACTCGCGTCGTCGAACGTTGCCTCGACTTTTCTCCGACGTGCTCTCGGAAATCTGTCCCGCGGGTTGCGTGCGCGCGCGTTCGATCACCGATCGCGTCCCACCTCTCCGTCCGCGCTTAATCTTCGACTCTCTTTCAATTACGCGCCGTCGCGTTATCGAGCGCAGCCCCTCAATGTCCGGAGTCGGGCTTTCCTCTCGCGGCTCGTCGGAATCGACGCTCGACGAAAACCGAAACGTTGGCTCGCGGAGAGAACGCCAGCCACGGAACGTACCGGCGAGGAGGAGGTTGGAGGAGGGGTTGAAAGGGACGGGAAGCGGGCGACGAAGCAGAAAAATGCGACGGAACCGCGCGTCAAAGGAATCGCGAGAGACGAGAGGATAGCTCGGCTTAAAAATGATTTAATTTTCGAGACTCGTTTATCTCTTCGGCTGTAGCCCGTGCACCGAAGCATCCGACCAGCAAATTTTCTCGGCAAGAGTAATACCGGTCGCGCCGTTTCGCGAAAAGGAAGACCCTCCGCGTTCGGTTAGCCCGCGGCGAACCATTCAGCTTCCGTTAGTTTATCCGTCGCGTTAAATCGTCCTGGCGGCTATCGCGACTTCTTTTGCCCGTAACGCGCGCCCGGGAAATATTCCCGGTCGTTTGCGCGCGTATCGGTACGAACGGTCTGGCCGAGAATAACCAGGATCTCTGGTAGTTACGATCTCGATAGAACTCGCGGAGAACACGTTCCGTCGCTTGTTCGTTTCAGGTGAAGCCCGACACGGAAATGGAGTTCGAGCTGCACGGACTCTACTCGGTGATATCCAGTTTACGACTCGAGTTGGAACCGAATCACATCGCCGGCGACAAAATAAACGTAAGGTAATTTCGCTCTGGACAATCTCCTCCCCGACACCACCGTCACTCTACCATCACCATCTCACCACCATCGCCTCATCTCTCCAGCCCGACGATTAATGCGTCTCTGTAAATTTTGTCGAAGATGCGAGGCGACCGTGGAATTGGATTCGAACTCGGACGCGCCGCTCGTCGAGACGCGCACCACGGAAGTCTTCGGTAAGCTTTGCCGCGTTCCGCTTCGTCTCGCGATTTCTTTCTTTGCCTTTTTCGCTCGCGCTCCGTGGGGGTCGAAAGGGGGCTGTGCCCTTTTCTTGCCGTCTCGCTCTCGTCCCGTGGTCGCTTCGTTCCGAGAAAGACGACGGAGAACGAGGCAGGGGGCGTTAAAACGACGGACGCGTTAATTAACGCGAGTCTGACGGCGCGAGAAACGATTACCTCGTTATTTCCGAGCGAAAGTGGCGAGCGAGCGAGAGAAAGAGCGCGGGAACGCGTTGGAGTCGCTTTCCTAGAAAGGAAATTAAGCATCGTTCGCGCGCTCCGACGAATTAAGGATGCTTTACGATCGGTTGTCCGTGGAAAAACGAAGGAGATCGTAGTAGCCGCAAAGTCGATTCTCGGACGAAACGAAAACGATAATTTACGCTCGTTAAACGTTCGATCGGCTCCCTTTGACGCGCGTTCGTTTCGCGACTCGCGCGAGAAGGAAAGAGGACGGGAGAGACGATCGAAAAGTTGGCGGGACGGCAAAGGTTGGTCGAAATCGTCGGAAAGCGCGGTGGGGTACAAGTTGTCGAACATCGGGTGGGAGGAAAAGAAAGAGGGGGAACGTCAGGACGAAATTGCTCTTAACGATGTTCGATTTTGTCGTTAGTCGTTGTCGAAAGCGACGTATACGTAGCGTTGCGCATTTACCGTCCCCGTTTCGTCGTTCGCTAGATCGCATCCGGAAGAGAGCGAATTCCCGTAGGCCGAAACTTTTCCATCGTGGCCGACTCCGACGAAAGGGATCGAGGACAGACGTCGCCGAAGCGAAGAGCAAAGTTTCGGCCGCGTCGGCTTAAAAGTTAAAATTGTCGCGAAATTTCCAGCGGCTTCTCTCGCGGATCGAGACGTAGAAACCGTATAGACGTTCTCTCTCTCTCTTTCTCTCTCGCTTCGTCTCTCTCGTTTCCTCGACCGATTCGAGAAGAGCCACTTCGGTAATCGATCGACGAACCACGATTTTGTTCGACCCGTGTTTCAGTGGAAGGACAGGCGAGCGTCGCGACATCTTCGGTGTACTTGACGTTGGCGAGCGCGTTGATCCTGCGATTAGCGTCGCTGGCTTAGAAACGCCGCGTCTCGATCGGCTTACGCTCGCGTTGGACAGAGGAGAGAGGAACGAACGAAGCGGACGAGTAAAGAAGAGTAAAGAGAAGAGGAAGAAATGAAGAAGGAAGGGGAATCGACGCCGTCTGTTCGATCGTTCTCGGCAGGGACGAGAGACGGTCGACGGAAAGGGAACCTCGAATCGCCGACCAGCGAGAGGATTTCGGGAGCCGTTGACCGGCGCACCGAAACTAAACGACGTCGGTTTCCGGAGAGCGAGCGCGCGTTTCGTTGATCATCGAGGGTAGAAAAATAACGCGGATAATCGCGCTTCAGCCGCGATCGATGAGCACCGCTTCGCTCCTGTCCAACTCGACCCGCGAATTCGCCGGACGCGAGGACGGTAGGGGGCGTTCCAGGATTATCGTCCCGTTTTACGGCACGCGACTCGAAAATACGATTTACGAGCCTGTAAGCCGATTAATTTGTACGATTCGACGTGCACCCGCGCTGTACAGTGCAAATGTTTGCCGAGAGCGTAGAAAATCGGGCGATTCTTTCGCGACACGACTCGAACGATATATCCGGATCGGTCGCCGCGCGCGCTCTCGACGACGATCCACCAGCACCTCGTGTTTCTCTCGCATTACGCGCACCCGCGCAAAGCACGACCGCGTCTCGTTGTCCACGACTAAAGCTTCGAAGCTTCCGTTACTAGTTCGTCGTACCGTTCCCCGGCGTACGTTCGTTCGCGCCAACCGGAATTCGCCAAATTCCTCGCCCCCCCCCCTTCGTCGTTCGATTTCCCTCCTCGCGGTCGACTCTCTGTGTTATACTTTGTATATAGCCTGCGATCTACGTCACCCGCCCACACTCCCCTGTATCTACGTACCTTGTCGATTTTAGAGACGGCTCGATCGCGTCCGAGCGAACAATGATAAACGTGCTTTCCGTAGAACTTAGGCTACGGTCGCGGCCAAAGACGGACGTTTTGCCCTCTCTCACCATCCGGTCGTCGACGTTCCGAAACCTAACCGGACAAAACACTGCGTACTCGTGTGTATGGCCTAATGTATATAATGTATACGCGTATACATATATTTCGCATATTTAGTTAAATAAATCGTATTTCATTATAGAACGGACTCGCATCGATCGCTGCTTTCCCACGTTTCTCGTACGAGCCACGCGACCATTATCCTCTTACGAGACGGACGAGCGCGATCGGAAGATCCCCCGGTTCCGGGGGCTGCTCGATCGAGTTTCGCTGGTCCGATCTCGGCGTTACAGCGTGCCGTTCGAGAAAGAATTAATGGTCGTTCGTGCCGCAGGACAATACGGGCTGGGCTTCGTCGAAGGAGCGCCCCTTAACTCGATACCGAGGGAAATTCTCGAGAGGATAAACGGTCGGTCGACGCGGACCGACTCTCCCGGAAGACGATCGATGCTAATGGCCCGTGCCAGACCAGACGCCGCGCCGCATCGACTCGTCGCTCGTCCTTTGAATATGTATCGACGCGTGCTTTGCTTTTGCCTTTGCCTCCGCCTCTCTTTGCCCTTTTACCTTCGGTTCCGTTTCGAACCGCTTGGCCAGAAGCGTCGCAAACACCGACAACAAGCGGACGGAGAATATCGGTCAAAGCCGTCGAGAGAAGACGTAACGTCGGATGTTTTCGCGAGTTCGCCTGCTTTCCGGAGGTAGACGACGCCGCGTCAAAAATACCTCGCCTAGTCGATAATCTTCCGAGCCACTTGGGCCACTGACCGAGAAACGAAATCTTTTAAATTTATCCCGGTGACCCGAGCGTTACTCGAACCGAATCACGGCATTCCAGACTCGTTCGGGGATGATCGATGTCCCTTTCTTCTCTCGGATGACCGAAGAACTTTATTAAAATTATTATAATCCTGCGCGGCTCTGAAACCGACTCCGTTCATAAATTTCCTACGTTTCGATCGAAGCTGAATTGAAAATTTCAGATTGAATTTCGAGCTGATCGATATTCCGCCGTAGCTCCTTTAATTAACTTGTTCGAGTAACAGATTTCTTGCTCTTTCGTCGTGTCCGACCTTTTCCTTCGAAACTCGATTTATGTCTCTTTACTGTGTCGCCCGAGCGCCGTTTTAATATTAATAATAATCAAAATGGAACGACTCGATATTCTCCGTTTCGCTTATTTCGGCCACGCGTTGGCCAAGCGGTCTCGTCGAACGCGTTCTAACAGTCGCAATTATCGCGAGCCGTTTCGAAATACGTTTACGAGAACGGCACTCTCTAATTACGCCAGAGAAAACTTTCTTTCGCAGCTTCCTACGACGCGACGTGCTCGCAAACTCCTTCGAACGGCGTTGCAGTTGGAGGCGTTTAAAATTCGAAGACCAACGGTAAGTATCTGCATCGTCTCCTTTTTTTCTACTCCATCCACTAATTTTCCTTCTAATGTCGGGTTGTAGCGAATTCGCTTTTTAATCGATGTCTCTGATACAAAGTAAAATCTCTGTCAGAACTTTTTTCAACGGCTCGTTTCTTTTATTTGTCACAGGGGCATAGCACGCGAACGAATCACGCTCTTTCGCGCACGCGACGTGACACGTAAACGCAATACGACAAAACGCGTTTCGTTGAAACTCCGAATTGTGCGAGATTAAATTATCTCTAGTATTAAACGATAGAGGTTTAAATATTTAAGCCATCAACGGTTTTAAAAGTTCGAGTAGTCTACGTGTAAAGAACGATAAATATAACGTTACGGTACCAGAGTAAAAGGAAGAAGACCAGCTGCAATTATGTCCGAGGCGAGCCTAAATGCCTTCTCGTAAATCAGCCCGGTTGAAACACCTCGAGTCCTTATCCTTGTTCTTTGCAGCTTTATTCGCATAAGTAGTTTTCCACCGATTCGTCGCTATCTCCGGCCTTTTAACGAGGGCACAAGGAATAAAATGTTTCGAGTAATAATCTGTTCGCGATACGAGTTCGTAAACGTTGCAATTCCCTCTTGACCGTGTCGAGTAGCAACGGTAAATAACGATTACAACAGATTTATCGACGAACACGAGTATGGCCAATCGTTTCGATGAATCCTCGAACGAGTATACGCGTGTCGTCCAATTACTCGATCGCTCGTCTCGCGATTATGCGATCGCGTACACGAACGAAAGATAAGTACGATATTTCGGTTTAATTCGTATCGCTCGCTTCGGGCACGCGTTATCCTCGATTTACCAACCGTAAAAAAACTGTTGGCTAGAAAAGCACCGATCACGGATAGAAGCAACCCAATTTCGAGCCTGCAATTGTTCGAAAACCATTAACTTTCGGATCGAATAAATTGCGAGTACGTGCGAGTGCAAGACTTTTACCGGTAAAAGCGATAGACACACGAAAGCACCGTAACGCAACGGTTCTATTCTTGGGATACCTCGAACAAACTCGGCCAAGGAATAAGAGTACCGATTCCAGCTTCGTCCTCGGTACCATCGTGACGCTTTTCGAAGAAGAGCCTGGCATTGATCGACGTACTTTCAATATTTTACGCGCATTATCGAGTTTACCGTGTCACTCGTTCCGAAACGAAGGATTCGCGGAGATCGTGTGCCGATCGTCCGAGTATTCAGCGGCTCGTTCTCGCTCGTCGACCCTATTCACGCAGTCGCTTTTCCCGCCTCGAGACGCGTATCCCCTGCGACCCGGCCAAGCAAATAAACCGAGAACGCGAGCTTAATTGCACCCTTTCTCTCGCCTCGTCTACACAACCTCTCGTCTCGCTGAGACTTGGCAAACTACCTACCTACTACGGTTTTCGGTACGGCTGTACGAGCGGCAGCGTTTTTCAAACGCGAACGCGCTACAAATCCAACCGGCAAACACGCTAAGCAAAATACCAGACTCGCAATTTCCCCGTTGAACGAAACTTCATGACTCTCGAAGGATTACGTCTTCTCGACTCGAAACGGTCGCAAAGAGAAGCGCGTTATCATCCTCGCTTTCTATCCACCCTAACACGGACTGGAAGCAAGCGCCCAGCATTGTGCAGCGTCTATCGAAAGGGACGAGAAGGAAGTTTCTTGGAAACGTCGCGATTAACGGCGGAAATTAGATCGCCGGAATCGAACGTAATATTTTATCCGTTTTCCAGCGACTCGTAATGCTCGGCGAGGCGAACGATAAGCGCGACGCGAACAGGATAACCAGGCTCGGTAGAAGCGCGCCGCACGCTCGAAAGATTTCGATCGGACGAAACAAGTATTCGCGAGCAACGTTCCGTGCACGGTGCAAACCTAGCGCAAATATTGATTTTCAATTACGGCATTCGTGACTTCGCGCAATGTCCCTGCGGGAGCGTGCTGGGCAGCCTTGGCATAAAATAAACCGCAATCTCAAGGTCCATCTGGTTGCAACGTGCTTCGGGATCGATTTAGTCGACCCTACTCGCCGACGAAAACTCCACGAAGCTCGCGACGGTTCTCGAAAAATCGAAATCTTACCGGAAAGTGTCGCTCGAGAGCACAATCGTGCGGGAGGCGTTTTCCACGATGGCGAAAACGAGTCGACGAAATCGAGTGGACCGAGAGCACACATCGAGTCGTAGCAAAGCGGTCGTCCTTCCCTTTGAGTTTTGCTCGGAGATTCCCTCTTGGAGCCCGTTTGTTTGACCCGAGCATTCGGGTTCGTTGGAAAGAAACCGCTTGCTGCGCTTTCTACGTCGTCGGTTTTTCGAGAGGGTCCGAAACGCGTACGGTCCGTGACGTTCGTAACTCTTCTGATCGATCGAAATTACGTTAAAAGCTGTCGCGAACGAACCGGATTGGACGAGGGCGGAAGCAATGAGATCGCGAGACCGCTGAAAGAGTAGCCAGGTGGCGAACGGCAAAGAAGGCAGACACGAACGGCCCTGCGACCCGGCCAAGCAAATAAACCGAGAACGCGAGCTTAATTGCACCCTTTCTCTCGCCTCGTCTACACAACCTCTCGTCTCGCTGAGACTTGGCAAACTACCTACCTACTACGGTTTTCGGTACGGCTGTACGAGCGGCAGCGTTTTTCAAACGCGAACGCGCTACAAATCCAACCGGCAAACACGCTAAGCAAAATACCAGACTCGCAATTTCCCCGTTGAACGAAACTTCATGACTCTCGAAGGATTACGTCTTCTCGACTCGAAACGGTCGCAAAGAGAAGCGCGTTATCATCCTCGCTTTCTATCCACCCTAACACGGACTGGAAGCAAGCGCCCAGCATTGTGCAGCGTCTATCGAAAGGGACGAGAAGGAAGTTTCTTGGAAACGTCGCGATTAACGGCGGAAATTAGATCGCCGGAATCGAACGTAATATTTTATCCGTTTTCCAGCGACTCGTAATGCTCGGCGAGGCGAACGATAAGCGCGACGCGAACAGGATAACCAGGCTCGGTAGAAGCGCGCCGCACGCTCGAAAGATTTCGATCGGACGAAACAAGTATTCGCGAGCAACGTTCCGTGCACGGTGCAAACCTAGCGCAAATATTGATTTTCAATTACGGCATTCGTGACTTCGCGCAATGTCCCTGCGGGAGCGTGCTGGGCAGCCTTGGCATAAAATAAACCGCAATCTCAAGGTCCATCTGGTTGCAACGTGCTTCGGGATCGATTTAGTCGACCCTACTCGCCGACGAAAACTCCACGAAGCTCGCGACGGTTCTCGAAAAATCGAAATCTTACCGGAAAGTGTCGCTCGAGAGCACAATCGTGCGGGAGGCGTTTTCCACGATGGCGAAAACGAGTCGACGAAATCGAGTGGACCGAGAGCACACATCGAGTCGTAGCAAAGCGGTCGTCCTTCCCTTTGAGTTTTGCTCGGAGATTCCCTCTTGGAGCCCGTTTGTTTGACCCGAGCATTCGGGTTCGTTGGAAAGAAACCGCTTGCTGCGCTTTCTACGTCGTCGGTTTTTCGAGAGGGTCCGAAACGCGTACGGTCCGTGACGTTCGTAACTCTTCTGATCGATCGAAATTACGTTAAAAGCTGTCGCGAACGAACCGGATTGGACGAGGGCGGAAGCAATGAGATCGCGAGACCGCTGAAAGAGTAGCCAGGTGGCGAACGGCAAAGAAGGCAGACACGAACGGAGCTAAAAAACATTAATTAATTCGTGCCGCCTTAATTGCTGTCCGCGGAAGTTTTAAAGGGGCCGCAATTACGCTTGATTTCGTTCGAATTCGCGTTCCAAGGAACAGTAGCTACACGGTCGCGAAAGCTTCTTAAATAGAAGAAAAATACTCGGATGATTCCGTTCGGATTCTAATTTCTCTTGCCTCTCGATCGATCCGAGCGTATGTTCGATTTTTGAAAAACGACAAAGAAGGCGGGCGAGCGGAGGATTCCCTACGGCCCGCCAGCTATCGGTACTCTTAACGTCCATCCAATTTTTTCCCTCGAAATTTGCTGGTAAACCGTGTTTGAAAAGAGCGCTGCTCTCGACGATTTCAGCGAGGAATCCGTCGGATACTCGGTAAATTTACGAGCGAAGTCGATGCACGGATTAAAAGGTCCGTTCGAATCGAGGAGATCGCGAGTCGCTCGCGGGACAAACAAGGCCGCGGAGCAAATAATAGTAGCGTTTCGCGTTGAATGTCGGAGGTTGTCGAAAAGTTTGGAAATCTCGTTGCACGCGATACGATACGCGTACGGGAGGCGAGTGACGCAAACGTCGACCTCGAATTAACCGAAAACGCGAGACGCGCGAATCCAGGCACCTTGAATTACGGCTTTCGACACGAATGTCCGTGTAGCCACCGGCAGTTACGAAAGCTCGAAAATTAGTCGTCCTTGCGAGACGAGCCGAAAACATCGATTATCCGATGACCCACTTGCCGGACCGATGGCGTAACCTTAATTACGTTCTGTTTCTTTTTTTCTCCGATCGGTTAATCGACTCTGGCCGGGACAAATTGCCGTCGTCGTCGGGTCGATCGAATTAGAAACAGCGACGGAATATCGATGCCCGTTTCCGCGAAACGTCGATTACTCGGACCGGTCGGCTCGCGACGACGTTCGATTAGTTCGAAAAAATGATCGTCCAAGCGGAAACGAGTCCGTCGAACCGTACGCGTATCGGGTGTTACGCGAGCGTTTCGTTAGGAGCGTTTTTACAAGAAGTCGAAAAGCAGTCGCCGAAGATCGTTAGACGAAGCAGAAACGAAGAGGGAAGCGAGGGAAACGCAATAAAGGGAAAAGGCAGTTTCGAAAGCGGAAGGAACACGGTTCGACCGCCATGAAAATGCTTATCCCTGCGAGAAAATGGTTCGGTCGCGTACTAGACGTTAACGAGATATCGTTAACGTCGCGTCGGCAACGAAAGCACGTACACGTTTTTGCTCCACGCGCTCCCGTAATCGACCAGTCAGTTTACGGGCTCGATTTACCCGTTCGCGCTGCGCCTCCGCCAACGCGTTACAACGGATGGTCTTCTCTCGCGCGGTCCTATTTACGGCCTCTTCTCGCACGGATCAAACGTCGACGCTGAATATTTTCCGAGGTTTGTATCCGTCGCAGTGTGTCGTTTGGCCAAGCGGAACAAAAATCAATCTTGCAACTTACACAGATATTAACATTATGTTTCGATGGTAGTCGTGGCATCTCCACGAGATATAATTTATTAAGACTTATTTTCATTTTATATTTTTACAATTATAGAATACAGCTGGAATAAAACTAGCACACTGGTTTTATAGAATAAATAATATATATGTAAGACGGATCTTTTATTTCTGGCATAGAGAGGCGATGAACGACTACTTCAATTTGTTTCACTGAAACAGACATCCTTTTATTGCTACATACCTTGCTATTTACAGTTATTTACAGTAAACTTACCTGAAACAGAGAAACGACAATTATAAGTCAGTTCATTGCCCCTCTTCTAATTACAGTTTCCTTAACATGCACTAATTATATTAAATCGATTTTATTTTGAACTGTACGTGTGCTGGTTACTAGCCGTCACTCTCTATCTCGATAATCTGGGGTTCATGACAGAGTGGCGCGCCAAATTTAAATTAAAGAAAACGTTTCTTTACGTATAATATAATAGAAAAATTTGTATAATGATTTTGTATGTTTATTTTATTGCTATGTTCATTTAACTGTTAAATAATTTAGCAAATATATATGATCATTAATGTTTAATGAAATATCGTGTTTTTGATTAATGAAAAACCAATAAAAAGAAAACGTTTTTTTACATATAATACAATAGAAAAATTTGTATAATGATTTTGTATGTTTATTTTATTGCTATGTTCATTTAACTGTTAAATAATTTAGCAAATATATATGATCATTAATGTTTAATGAAATATCGCGTTTTTGAAAAACCAATAAAACGAAAAATAATTCAGTATTTTTGTCCTGCTGATTGGCCAAACAACACGCTGCGTCGCCGCGATCCAACTCTGCCATTCCGATTTTTAACCCGTTCGATTCTAGTTTCAGATCACTCGAGGCCACACGAAGATCGACGAGGAGAAGAAAATTGCTGGCGGATATTCGGTCGTGACGAAATTTCGTTAACGCGATTAAGCAGAGAGCCCGCAAAGAATCAAAGACCGAGAAAGACCGCGGATAGAGAACGGAGAGGAAGAGAAAGAGAGTGGAAAGTTGAACGCGGGTAACCGCGAAGCGAAGCGTCTCGAATTCTCGGCACGTTCTCGTCGCGCGCAACTCGCGCCAACTGCGAAATACGAGGAGTTTCGACCCTCTTCTCCTTCCGTTCGTTTTTCCGCTCGATTCTCGCCGCTCTTTCCCCTCTTCTAAATCTCTCTTTTCTTTTTTTCAACCTTTGTGTCTTTCCCGCGAAAAAGCGCTCGCGCAGCGTAACCGTTCTCTCCGGATTTGCGAGTCCTCTTTCTCGCTCTTTCTCTCTTTCGCTTTCTCTCACGGTCGAAATAAGCCAGAACGGTGGCAGTCGAGCGCAAGACTCCCGGCCGGATACTAATTAAGAGCGCGTCTTTCAATTATTCTGCTATTGACAGTCGCGCAATCTACTCGTCGACTGGATGCACCGGACCGAGCGCACAAAGGACACAGCCCCGTCCTCGGTGTCACCGACTCGCTCTTTCGATCCTCCCCTCTCTCTCTCTCTGCACTCTATTTCCCTCGTTCCCAAATGCCAAGATACTCGAAAAAGTTCGGGGACTCTTTTGCGCCTTCGACTACCACCGTGCTCTTTCTCGCGCGAGAATTACGTCGATTGTCTTCGTCGCGCGGTACAGCGTTCGACTATCGATCGCGAGACCGAATTAGGATGTTTCGCGAAGACGAGTCGTCGACGGGACCGATACTCGACGAGCTCGCGCACGGGAACGCGTGCTCGACGTGCTTCGACAGTTTTCATATTTTACGATTTAAAGAGCAATCGACGGTCCCATTGAAAGTAATCGACAGGAACGTCGACGAGTCGAGGGTATTAAAAACAGGATTTGGATAGCAATTTCGCGCGTAATCCGCGGAAGCTTGCGAGTCGAGTGCATGCTCGTGCTCGTATCGACAGAAAAGTCACGACCGAATAATCCTGTAGTTGGAATATTCCAATTCGATCCTCTCGACGGATCAAACCAGGCTGCGCCCCTCTGTCTCGGCGATACTCGAATCGAGTTTCCTGCGAGAGGATGTTTTTCTTCTTCGTGTTCGAGATTAATTGAAGTCGGAGCCACCTCCGAATTCGGAGGACAAAGGGACGATCGACGATTTCGAAACTTTGCGAAAGTGGCAAGAAGGTCCTCCGCACAGAATTCGCGGAGAATATCCAACCGGCCTGCGGCGACACGGCGATGAAAGACGAGATTTGCATTGGCTGGCATCATCCTTCTTCCAATCTTCTACCCCATCGGGTCCGCCGCAAGGCCTGCGAACGTCTTGTCAGAAGCGCGTACCTTCTTCCTCGCTTCGAGAAAACGAGATCCAAAGAATCGCGACAAAGATTCTGATATTGTACGAAACCGCGAGAAATGTCAACTTTCGCCTTGCGATAGCGTAGTTCAGAAAATAATTGTTATAAAGCGAGGCACAGTGTACGATTAGAATTACTAATTTTATCTGAAAGCTTGATTTATTGTAATAATAATTTTGTCTGAGTACTTGATTGTACGTTGCACGCAAGTTCATAATTATAGTTATTTAATGTAATGTATCGTTTCGTATATGAAGTAATAAAGGAAAAGAAAATAGATTGACAAGTGTTGTTAATTTTCCCATCAAATCCGCTTCCCAAAATTTCCTTAGTTTGTAGAAATAAAAGAGAGAATAGAAATTGCGAAATTATCTGGCGGGAAGGTATGTCGGAACTAAAATTGCGATTTAAAAATTTGGTATTGGGAGAACATAAATTGCAAGGAGGTAACAGAAAATTTCGCAATTTCTGGTTTTCTAATTTGGTAACAGGAGAACATGAATTACGAGGAGGTGGCACAAAATTTCTTCAACCCTGATTTTCTAATTTGGTAACAGGAGAACATAAATTACCAGGAGGTGGCACAAAATTTCTTCAACCCTGATTTTCTAATTTGGTAACAGGAGAACATAAATTACCAGGAGGTGGCACAAACTTACTTGAACCCTGATTTTCTAATTTGGTAACAGGAGAACATAAATACCCAGGAGGTGGCACAAAATTTCTTCAACCCTGATTTTCTAATTTGGTAACAGGAGAACATGAATTACGAGGAGGTGGCACAAAATTTCTTCAACCCTGATTTTCTAATTTGGTAACAGGAGAACATGAATTACGAGGAGGTGGCACAAAATTTCTTCAACCCTGATTTTCTAATTTGGTAACAGGAGAACATAAATACCCAGGAGGTGGCACAAAATTTTTGAAATCCTATTTTTCTAATTTTGTAACAGGAGAACATAAATTACCAGAAGGTGGCACAAAATTTTTGGAATCCTCATTTTCTAATTTGGTAACAGGAGAACATAAATTACCAGGAGGTGGCACAAAATTTCTTGAACCCTGATTTTCTAATTTAGTAACAGGAGATCATGAATTACGAGGAGGTGGCACAAAACTTTTGGAATCCTCATTTTCTAATTTGGTATCAGGAGAACATAAATTACCAGGAGGTGGCACAAAATTTTTTGAATCCTGATTTTCTAATTTGGTAACAGGAGAACATAAATACCCAGGAGGTGGCACAAAATTTTTGGAATCCTGATTTTCTAATTTGGTATCAGGAGCACATAATACTGTAGGAGGTGGCACAAATTTTTTGAAATTTTGACGACATTTCCAGGAACCGTCGAAGAATTTTTCAAACCTACTCAATTTTGAAATTTGGTATCAGGAGAACATAATATGCGAGGTGGTGGCACAAATGCCACTTCTTGGAATTTTGATGACGTCATTTCCAGGAATTGTCGAATTTAAATTTCCAGAAATCCAAGTCACCGGTTCCGTAATTTGGTATCAGGAGAACATAAGTTGAGAGGAGGTGGCACAAATGCCGTTTCTTGGAATTTTGATGACGTCAATTCCAAGAATTATTGAGAAAAATTTGAAAAATCTAGCCCCCGATTTTGAGTTTTGGTATCAGGAGAACATAATATGCGAGGAGGTGGCACAAACCTCAATTCTTGGAATTTTGATGACGTCATTTCCAAGAATTATTGCGAAAATTTTTAAGAATCTGGCCTCCGATTTCGGGTTTTGGTATCAGGAGAACATAATATGCGAGGAGGTGGCACAAACCTCAATTCTTGGAATTTTGATGACGTCATTTCCAAGAATTACTGCGAAAATTTTTAAGAATCTGGCCCCCGATTATGAGTTTTGGTATCAGGAGAACATAACATGCGAGGAGGTGGCACAAACCTCAATTCTTAGAATTTTGATGACGTCATTTCCAAGAATTACCGCAAATTCCAAGAATTATTGCGAAAAATTTGAAAAATTTGGCCTCCGATTTTGGGTTTTGGTATCAGGAGAACATAACATGCGAGGAGGTGGCACAAACCTCAATTCTTGGAATTTTGATGACGTCAGTTCCAAGAATTATTGCGAAAATTTTTAAGAATCTGGCCCCCGATTTTGAGTTTTGGTATCAGGAGAACATGACATGCGAGGAGGTGGCACAAACCTCAATTCTTGGAATTTTGATGACGTCATTTCCAGGAATTATTGCGAAAATTTTGAAGAATCTGGCCTCTGATTTCGGGTTTTGGTATCAGGAGAACATAATATGCGAGGAGGTGGCACAAACCTCAATTCTTGGAATTTTGATGACGTCATTTCCAAGAATTACCGCAAATTATTTCCGCAAATCGAGTTGCCGATTCCGAGATTTGGTATCAGGAGAACATAAGTTTCGAGGAGGTAGCGCAAAATATAACTTGACATTTTTATGAATATTCGCAAGCTACTTTTAAAGTGAAATATACTGGAATTTTATGTTTATCAGAAAGGAACGGTGCATAAACTAGCGGAGAGTCACGCGACTGAAGTGATTTTTTAAGGAGCAGGATTTGGGAACAGGTGAAATGAATAAACAGTATATCCCTTTAATTTGCGTTTATTGAAACTATGTATTACATACAAGTGAAAATACATGAATTTGTTACATTACATTTTGTATTGTTATTAATTTACATGCAACACTGTCGTTCGTATGTTTAATTACGATATTCAACGTTAATAGCTCTCGTAATAGTATAATAAAGCAATTTTAACGAGTAACAAACGAGTGTACGTGTCTTCCTCCTCGTTGATTCATGGAGATGACGCAGAGATCGTGCCCGGAGAATTGGTCGAAATTCCGCAAAATTCTGTAACGTAACAAAGTAAAGATCGTTATTAATTAAGCGAATTAATCATATTGTTCGATAAACGAGCGCGGTAAAGGCTGGAAATATTTACCGTAAGCTTAGCGCGATGAAAAAAGGAGTAGCGTAGCATGTAGTCCTCGGAGATCCTCCCTTTCCGAGCGCCCAGGAGAGACTAATGAAACGTCGTTCTCTTTCTACGCGAGCTCGATCCATTTCCCCGTTCCTCTGTTTTTCCGAATTTCAGATCGCAAATTGGAGTCCAGCGTTGAAAAAGATTCGTCGAATAGATTCGCTTCGTTGATCCGATACGTGCTGAAACATTTTAATAGACAGATATATTTAATATGATTAATAGCGACGGTATCGGATTTTGGTTTCATCTATCTATCAATTTTTAACGGATATCAGATTTGTTCAGTTGGGAATTGCTAAAAGAATTCTTTAAATATTTCATTTCCCGTCTGCGAATGCGCTACTAATATTGGCACGAATCCAAAGGAAGTCATTTGCTTGCCCGATAAAACAAAATTCCGGCTACGGAAGGAAAAATACCGATAGTTAAAAAATAGCAGCGAACGATTTTAGCGACGATGAATTTTTATTCGAAGGTAGTCAGGAAGAGAGGGCTAAAAGCTAGGGTCGAGTGGCGAGGGACGTACGCGACCGCGATCCAGCCAGTGAAGTAGCGATGCATGTCCAAACGTAGTATATTCTCATAGACGTATTCCCCGGCGGTGGTTGGATCACGACCGTTCAGGGAATATTTATTTACATTCCGACAATTAGTCGAGCATTAGCCGAGCCTCCAGAGATACCGGTAACCCTGGCAGCGTATGGTTTACCGATCCTTCGAGCCCTCGCAACAACTTTCAAGCTCGATTTCCATCTTCCCCGGTCTCGCCGCGCCTCCGAAGAGGCCCCCTTCCACTCGACCTTATAAATCGTGGATCGCGAGAGCCTCCCGCGAGGGCTACACCCGCGGTCTCGACCGCGCGACGGATTTTCCGCTCGTTTAGCGAAGGACCGCGCTCGAAGGAGGACACGCGACAAATGGAAAACGTCGCGAAACTTCCGTGGCGTCGCGCAAAAGGGCAGGCGGAACGAGAAGACGGAACGGTTCAACAACCAACGCGTACCGGTCGATACAGCGGAAAGAAGAGAAAGAGAAACGACGGAGAACACTTAATTAGCGGTAAAATCTGGAGAGTACTCGGGACTACTAGCGTGGCATAAAGCGCGACGAAAAAAATGCATGGAAATAGAAGAAACTGGAACGGGACGAACGGCTTTGTTAGAGTGCGCCGAGTTAAACGCGCGCGAGAGAAGGGACAATCGCGATCCTTCGACTTTGAACGCTCGAAATGGGAAGCGACTTTTACGTTTCGACGACTGATTCAAGGGAGAGAGAGAGTTGGCCGTGTTCCGGGTTAATTTCAAAGCGTCCAAGTTGCACCTCGTCAGCTTGGGCTTTTATCTTCCCGACTGTCGAGAAGAACGGCATTTCCGAGACTCGGCCGGAAGATTATTCGAAAGGAAGCGGTCGGTGCGCGAAAGTTAATTGAATCGCGACGAAAACGTAACCGAGACGTCGTTATCGTTACAAACGACCGAGAGCGCGTAAATCATGGGCGGCAATTTCTAAAGGGGAACGAGGGCGGCGACGAAAAATCCGAAATTTCGCGGCTGAAATCGTGAGCTCGTTCGACCGGCGGTAAGAGAAAAAAATCGATGAGTTTAATCTGATTAAGAGTTCGTTCGCTCGACAGGCCGCGCACGAAGGCGCGAAACTTGCCGCGGACCGAAGCCTCGCGTGCGAACCGACACCCGAATCGCGAACAGCTCGAGGAAACTCGTTGCTCGCGACCACGACGAATAACCGGAAGCGCGCCAACGACGCGTTTCGTGTCGTTGCCTAAGATTTATGTGCCTTCGCGAGGCGCGCCGCCGAATATTCTTCGATCGCGAATTCCTTCGCGGTAGATCGGCGAATGGACCTCGGAATAACGCGTTCCCGAGTAACGGCTTCGAGCCACGGCGAGGATACGAGAAACCGCGACTCGAGCCGGAAGGGGACGGATAGGAGGAAAGGCGCGTGACCGGATAGAGAGAAAAGCGAAGACGGACCGTGGAACGGAAAGAGAGCGAACGAGGTAGGGAGAAATGGGTGCATCACGTACAAGATAGGAGACATATTTCGCGTCGTCGTAAACCCCGGCAACGTCGACGTCCACCGACCGAGCCATCCATCACGTGCCGTGTCTAACGAGACGTACGGTAAAGGGACGTCGCTTCGAGGGCTCGAAATCCTCTGCGGTAAGAACGAGCGAAGCGAGGAATAGGATGCGAAGAAAAGATTATATTCGCTTCTCGAACTTTAACCGTGACGCGACGAGAAAGGAAAGAAGACGAACGGGAAAACGATGGCGCCTTCGATCGCGATACGCTCGTCCCACCGATCGTTCCAATTCTACACCCTACCTCCAATTACCTGCAATTTAATCCGGTCGGGTAATTCGGAAACGCGTTTATCCCGGGAACAAATATCCGCGTCACTGGCACCAAATCCACGCATGAAATCGGCTTCGCCGCTATGTATAGGGCTCTCTGGTGCGCGACCGCCTAATCCTTCATAAATATTTCCCCGATGGAATTCCGCGATCTTTCGGCTAGACCGCGTTCGCCCCAAATTTCGCATTACGCCCCGTAAAAATAACCCCGTGCAACCGTAAGTTCGATCGACAACGATTGATAAAACGCGCGAACGAGCGACCGACCGACCGAACGGACGGACGGACGGACAGGGTTGTAAATGGGGTCGGCCAACCTGAACGCGTATAAAATATGCCCAGCCGCGCTATCTCGCGGCCGATTGCCTGGAAAACTCACGCGAAAATATCGATCCCCACCCGGTCCGCTCGTAATCAGATTAAGCAAGACCAACGGCTCAACCTGGCCATACCTATAACCCCGTACGGCTCCCTCGACACCTGTGCGAGTGCACTTGTTCCCTCTTGCTTCGGCCGAGCCGACGAACGAGAAGGACGGCGAACCCCTTCTCGTCGTGCACCCTTCTCTCTATCTGTATCGCTCTATCTACGCGCGCGAGACGGGCCAGCCCGTATACGAAGGCCCGTTATGGGAACGACTACGATTCGAGTATGTTTGCACGCTAACCTGTGCGCTCGACGACGCGTCGTCTACGGTTTGTCGAAGCGAAGAGGTCGGCCGTGTTCGATCGACCGTGTTTTCGATCTAACCGGCCGCCCACGAAACGTCGCGTCGTCGGAGATCGAACACACGACCGAACCGAATGGAAAATCGACCGGTTCGAGCCCTTTGTATCGAGCAAACGAGCACTAGCTCGTCCCGACGAAAGGTTAAAGGCTGCTCTATACCCGGACGGGAAAACACGACTTAATTTCCATTCGATTTCGTTCGACCATTCTTTACGATTTGTTTTTAAGGTATTTCAAAGGTTTTTCGCTCTCTCGTTTACCGAGCCGCTAACGCGATACAGATGCTTCTCGTCGGGAGAGAATAGTTTTTTGGTCGATCGGCAATTTCGAACGGTGGTTTATCGATTCGGCCACGATCCACGTGTCGCGTCGCGTCGCCGTACATTTCGGTACTAATCAGAATAATCGGTTAGCTCCGTTATCGAATCTGGCTCCATTGGCTCATGAAGATTTCAGTGTCCGCTCGGTTTGCCACACCGCGTCCGCGCGGTTCACGGAAAACGAACGCGCATTTCCGCGCTCGTTTTATAATAAAGCGCGGCACGCGTCGTTGAATTCCTAATGCGAATCCGTACAGTTTGTCCCGGCAAAGGGGATCGTATACGGGGAATACGCGGAGATCGACGATTCGGGTATTAATGCTCGGTAATAGAGCCGGTGCTGATCGAGCGACGAAAATCTTTTGATCCGACGCGACGCGACGCTTCCCGATCGATACGGATGGTTAGCGAACGGTTAAATTCGCGGCTACCGACGAACGAGAGGGTCCCTCGGCCGAGCAAACGTAGGGATAAAGTTGGTCGAGGATAAGCGAGGATAGTTTTGACAGGCACGTTGTTTGCCGGCGACATAAAGTCGCGAATATTCGCGCTTCAGGTTGTCATCCCGCTAACGAACGGATTGAAAGCTGGCACTCGATACAGATAATTGGTTCGCGCATTGAATTTCGTCCGTCGAGTAGATTAATGTGTCCAAACCAAATTGATCCTGATTAATGGTGCGGAATTTGAAACATCGCGTTCTTTCGGCCGGATTTTCTATTTAGTCGGGGATCGATCAAGTAACTCGAATCGATGGAATCTATTTTCGCGGGGAACAACGGTTCAAAAAACGACGGAGATCGTGTGACGATCGGTATCGGCAAGCAGGCTCGCTCGTTTTACGCGCGGCGTTCTAGCTGGTCGATATACCAGATGCCACGAAACGTTTCGCTCGTTATTATCCGCTTCGCCAGCTGAGATTAGCGAATGCGCTTGGCTTTTAATGACCCGGATCGACTGCGCTGCCATCGGCCCGATGTAACGGAGTAATTACGACTTATTTCCTGTTGCTAGCCCGCTCGCTCGTCGAACGCGATCGAACCCGAGATCGAGGAAAAATGGGGTGATTAGAAGGTAGACCGCCGAATGCTCTTCACGCTCCGAATTCGTAAGTCTCGAGGAAAACAATTTCGAACGAACGCGAAGGATGCCCGGCGAATCGAGGAATTCAATTTGGATTATCGAAAATTCATGAGAACGCTTCGTATTCCATGGTCCGGCGCAAGACGCGTAGCAGCTGCAACTGCCAGCTACAAGTATACCGTGGATAATATAAAACGTTCTTTCTATCGCGCGACTTTTCGCGTCTTCCTCTGCCTTGTCGGCGCCGACTTACGAACGTTATTTTCCCTCGTACGGAACGGTAAAGCCAGATAACCGAGTCAATGCCGTCGAATAACCAAAATTTACCATCTTTCGAAGTTATTCCATCGGACCCTTTACCGGATCGACGAATGCGCGAGTCCATATGCGGAAGTTACATCGGACGAACGGACAACGAACGAGCAGATGCACGCACGCGTACGTATCGGGGGATTTTCAGCCGCGAAATTTATAGCGCCTAGCTACTCCAGAGGATACGAGCAGCCTGCACGATGGGTCGGAGGATATAGATTACGTACGGTTCAACTATGGAACAGTATTTTCCTCTGGCTCACGCTCGAGCGAACGCAGCGTACGTTGCGTCGCAACGACCTGGCAAGGAAACAGCAAAAAAAAGTCAAAGGAGACTGTATTCCCTGTTGCGACACTTATC